TGGTGCTACCTATCTACCCTCTCCCCCTCTTCCTCGGAATATGTATATCCGATTGGACCGGCTGGTCCGTTTGCGTATCGTGAGAGTAAATGACAGGATTGCTGGACACATTTTTCTGCGTGTGATTCATGAGCCCGGTAGCGTTGGTTCTGGGCTCGCTCCATATTGTGATTTCACCGCCGTGGCTCGCGACCATGGCGACTTGATCCTGGGTGACTGCGCCGATGGTTTGCCTATCAGAAGTCGGCCATCGAACCGGGCACAGACCCACAAAGATTAAGAATCCGCGAGGAAAAACGTGCCTTTCGGATGGGATCTGTCCCCTGCTCTCGGCTTTAAGCCGCCCATTATATATTATTTTCCCCCGTCCTCTCTCCCTCTTATCTCTCTCCCATTGCTGCCGGCTCGGTTCGAGCCGGCTTGAGGCGACTTGGTTCCTGGTAGCAGGACTGGAAAAGGGGGCTCGCTCTCACCTCGAGCCCTGCGGGCTCCGCCGCCGACCCCCGCTGCGGGATCGGGAGGTCAAGAGGGGGCCCAACCCGGTTCCGCACGAATCACCGCCGCCCCCTGCCTTTTTGGAAGCGCCTACGCGGCCGAACGTTGAGGCCAGACCTGCCAAGCTATCGGATCACGCGTTGCCCGAATCGGTTTGGAAAGCCTTCGGGGAACACGCGGGCATCTCGAAGGTCATCTTGGTCGTCTGGAGGCCATTTTGACCCTTTCGGGCCTTCTTGGAGGACGTCTTGGAGAGCTCTTGGGCCGTCTTGGAGGCCATCTTGAGCGTTTTGGAGACCTCTTGGGCCGTCTCGGGGGCCTCTTGGGGCCGTGTCTTGGGCCTCTTGGGCGATTTTTGGGGGCACTTGGGCCGTCTCGGGCCGTCGGAAGGCAGAAAAAGAGCAGATGCCACAATCCTTCAAAAACACATTGGAAATTAATGATTATGGCCTTTTCGGGCCTGCCTGGAGGCCCTCGTGGAGGCATCTTGGGCCGTCCTGAGCCATCTTAGGGCCATGTTCGGCCGTCTTGGTGGGCCCCTGGTCCGTCTGACGCCGTCGGAAGCAGTTTGGGGGGCTTCTATGGGCCGACTTGGGGCCCTCTTGGAATGCTCCAGGGCTGTCTTGGAGGCCATCTTGGGCGTCTTAAAGGCCTCCTGTGCCGTCTTGGGGGCCTCTTGGGGCCGTCTTGGGGCCCTCTTGGGCCGTTCCGGGGCCATCTTGGAGGCCTCTTGGGCGATCTTTCGGCGATCTTTGGGGGCTCTTGGGCCGTCTCGGTCCGTCGGAAGGCCGAAAAGAAGCATAGGTCAAAATCCGTCAAAAACCTTAGGAAACTCAATGTTGTTGGCCTCTTCTGGCCTTCCTGGAGGCCCTCTTCGGGGCCTCTTGGGCCGTCTTGGACCAGCGTCGAGCCAACTTCGGCCATCTTGGTGGGTTCCTGGCACGTCTGACGCCGTCGTCTCGCGGCTTTTCTGGGCCGACTTGGGGCCCTCTTGGGGCGCTTCGGGGCCGTCTTGGAGGCCATCTTGGGCGTCTTGGAGGCCATCTTGGGCGCGTTTACGGCCTCTCGGGCCGTCTTGGGGCCCTCTTGGGGCCGTCTCGGAGGCCACTTGGGCCGCCATTGGGCCCTCTTGGGCGATCTTGGGGGCCCTTTGGGCCGACTGGGGCCGTCGGAAAGCCGAAAAGGCCCACATGCCCAAATCAATATATATAGAGAGAGAGAGAGAGAGAGAGAGAGAGAGAGAGAGAGAGAGAGAGAGAGAGAGAGAGAGAGAGAGAGAGAGAGAGAGAGAAAAAAAAAAAAAAGAGAGAGAGAAAGAAGAGAGAGAGAGAGAGAGAGAGAGAGAGAGAGAGAGAGAAAAAAAAAAAAAAAAAAAAAAAAAAAAAAAAAAAAAAAAAAAAAAAAAAAAAAAAAAAAAAAAAAAAAAAAAAAAAAAAAAAAAAAAAAAAACGGGCGTTCCTGGAGGACCTCTTGGAGGCCTCTTGCCGTATCGGAGGCCTCTTGGGCCGTCTGGGGCCATGTTGAGGCTATCCAAGTGCACGTTGGCTCGCCTTGGAGGCATCTTGGCGCCATCTTAGCCGTCTTGGAAGCCGTTTTGGGTGCATCTTGGTGACCATCTTGGGCCGTCTTGGAGCCGTCTGGAGCAGGAATAGGAGTGCTTGCACGTGATTGTCTGGGCCGCCCCATGGCTTTTGATCTTTCTCAAGTGCATGAGCGGGGCTGGGCCATGGCCCCGGGCAGCGCCGCCACGCTCGCGGTGAGTGCCGCGGTGGGGGCGCCGGCTGCCTGGGCCGGGCTGCGCTGGGCGGCGAGCTGGCTGGCGGCGCTGGTGGCCGCCTCGACCAGCTGCCCGCCCTGCGCGTGCCACGCGCCGCGGTGGCCTCCGCCCGCGCCGCCGCCGCCGCCGCCACCGCCAGCGCCGAGCGCCGGCGCGGTGGCCGCGGCCGTGGCGCAGGAGCTCGGGCCCTGGCTGGTGGCGAACTCCTCGCCTGCGCCAGCCACGTCCCTCGGCCGCCGAGGTGGCCGCGGCGCTGCTGGAGCGGCTGCCGCCGCTGGGGCCTGGAGAGGCCCGTGCGGCGCCGTCCGTGCCCGAGGCAGGCCCAGCCTTGGGCGAAGGTCGTCTCTTCGTTTTCATCCTGGCGGGGGGGATCGCTTACGGGGAGGGGGCGATCTTGGTGCGCTGCTGCGCGGTGGCCCGAGCCCTTCGCGACGACCGCCCCGCTCCCCCGCCGCCGCCGCGGCCCGACGACTTTGGCCGCGGACGGCACTCTCGTCGAGGTGGGGGCGTGGCGCAGTGAGCTCCGGCCAGGACGCCGGGTCGGGCTGCGGCACCCGCGCGACACGGCGTGGCACCAGCGGGTGCTGCTCTACCCCGCGGGGGGCACGTACTGGTGGGTGCTGACGCCAGACGCCGATCGGCACGTCGAGGACGTGTCGGGCTCCGTCGGCGACGGCTGCAACAGGGCCTTCGCCGTCGCGCTGGACGGCACGGCCCCCGCCTTGGCCCATGGCGCCTTCTACTGGTTCGCGCAGCCGCTGACCTGGAAAGAGCTGCGCAGCTCGGTGCTCAGGTCGAGGACCGACCAGCAGGAGCACGTCGGTGACGAGCCGCTGGTTGACCCCGCGGAGGTCTACACTTGGGAGGGGGTCTCTCGCCCGTTCGGGCTCCTACGACGCCGCCTTCCGCTGCGGGGGGCCAGGGACGCTGTCGGGGGGACCGACACCCCTCCTGGTGGCGCTTCGCCCTCGGCGGGCGCTGATGAGGCAGTCGTTCCCGCCCCACCAGCGCTGGAGCCGCCTGAGGGATGTTGCTGGCTGGTCAACTCGCCCGGCCCCTTTTCGCTTGGGAGCCGAGGTGGCGCTGGAGGCTGGCGGCGTCAGGCTGGACGACGACCACGCGATGGTGAGAGAGGCCGGCACCTGGCAGCTCGTGGAGGCGATCCCCGTCGGCGCGGTGGACTCTTTCAGGGACAGGCGCCCGAGGGAGCTGCTCGGACTGGTCGAGAGGGACCTGCCCGCCGACGCCCGCGCCAGGGGACCTCCGCTGCCGCCGCCGGCCTTGCCACCTGGTGGCGAGGCAGATCCCGCGCGCGGGGCTGCCGAGGCCACCGGCCCCAGCGCTGACGACCAGGGCCTGAGAGACAGGCTGGGGGCGCCCCCCCCGGAGGGGGCGCGCGAGGCGGACTCGGTCGACGACGCGAGGACGCTGTGGGTTCAGCACGACGAGCAAGGGGGCCGCCACAAGCCGTGGCGCGAGGTCGCCCGCGAGATCAGGAAGTACACGTTCAAGGACTGGCCGCTCGAGGACGGCCTCACACGGTGGAGCACGTGGCGAAGCGCTGGGAGCAGAACGGCGGCCCCCCCTTGCTCTGGCAGGACCTGTGGGCGCGGGACCGGCAGCTGAGCCAGACGGACCGCAGCTACATCGAGATGAAGTGCCTTCTCACGGCAATCTTCTACGCGGGAAGCTACGACCAAGCCAACTTGCCCAGCATGGCCAGCATTGAGGTGTTGCGCCGTCGGGTGTCGCAGATCGTCGAGGCCTACTCGGGTCATCCCAACAAGCCCCCGAAGTGGGGCGGGCTGCGGCGCCACATGGGCGCGGCAGGCCCGATGGACGTGATTGGCCCAGCCTTGAGGACCGCAGTCTTCCGCCGCAACAAGGAGGAGATGGAGCTGGAGAACTGGAAGAGCCGGGCTGCCGGGCTCCCTGTGCCGAGCCCTCTGGCGCTGGAGGCCGGCGATGGGGCCCCCGAGCGGGCCCTCCGGCGGCGCCGACGGGCGCGGGCGGGGCCGCGGCGACGGCCGAGGCCGCGGCGCCGACGGGCGCGGTCGCGGCGCTCCTGGGGGCGGGGGCGGACGCGGGGCGGCTGGGCGCGGTGGGAAGCTCACCGCGCCCGAGAGGGCATGACTGCCCCCGCCGGCGGAGTTGGGCGCCCCGCCGGTAGCGCACAGCCCAGTCGCGAAGTCGGGGTGGACCTGCTGTCGGTGTTCCCCCTGCCGACGCTGAGCGACCATGAGAGGGACTGGCCGCAGCTCCAGGGCCGCGGGGCTGCTCGGCTCGCCAGGCGGGCCTGCCAGGACTTCGACGAGGTCGTCGACGCTTTGAATTGGTTGATGAACCGCACCTCCACAGGCGACAAGCCGAATTTTGACCAGATGAAGGTGCACGCGCGGATCCTGGAATGCGTGGCTGAATGCATGCCGCCAATGGAGACCGCGATCCCTTCCCCGCGAGCGGCCTTTTCTGAGCTGCTGCACGGCCGCAGTGTCTACGACGAGTCGGCCGGACGGAACGTCGGACGTCTTCGCAGTGTGGGGCATATATTTTTACCTAAGACCGCGGTGGGAGGGCCACGGCTGTTGGACATCGCTCCTGCCCATGCACGCCAGTATCTCGAAGACGGTTTTTCTCGGATGCTTCTAGATGAGGCTAGTTTACGTTGCCGACTTGATGAGTGCGATGTCATTCCTCACTGGGACCCCCCTCTGGCTCGCAACCGCAGGCTCTACGTCCGCCTGGTGAAGCTCCTCTACGCCAAGGGCCTTCTGGTGCTCCTGGACGAGAGCGAGCGGCGCGAGGACGTCGGGATCTTGTTCGTTGCCAAGAAGTCAGACCAGCTGCGCCTCATCATAGACGCTCGGCGCAGCAACCTACACTTCACCTCGCCCCCTGGGGTGTCGCTCGTGACGGCCGACCCGCATCGAGGTGGAGGGCGTCGAGTGCGTTGGCCAGTCGGACCTCGGTTTCACTCCGGGCACCTCCGACATCAGCGACGCCTTCCACCGTTTCAGGATCGATCGAGGGCTCTTTTCCTATTTCTGCATCCGCCCCGCGACCGCGCAGGAGATCGGGGTGACCGGCAAGACCATCGGGGACAGTGCCGCGCTTCCCGACCGCCGCTTGGTGCCAGCCTGCGCCGCCCTGCCGATGGGGTTCACCTGGTCGCTCCACTTCTGCCAGGAGGTGGGCGAGGCCGTCATGGACGCCACGCCCGGACTGGAGCGGGCCCACCGCATGAGCGACCGGGGCCCTACGACAGTGCTTCGGCCGTCGGCAGCTGGCCGAAGGAGGAGGCGCTCGGTATACGTACGTCGACAACCTCGGGGTGATGGGCTTCGACGGCGCAGAGGTGTCCTCGAGCCTCGCCGCCGCCACCGCGAGGTTCGATGCCGCGGGCCTGAGGACGCACGAGACGGACATCCAGAGGGGCCGCGGCGTGACGCTGGGCTGCGTGCTGGACGGAGCCGCGCTGACCACCAGGCTCACGGCCAAACGCTACTGGCGGGTGCGGCAAGGTGTGTCGTGGGCTCTGGGCTGCAGAGCCCTGCCAGGCTGGACGTGGGAGATCGTCCTCGGCCACTGCACTTACTGCGCCATGTGCAATCGCGACCTTCTCTCGGTCTTCAACGCGATGTACAAGTTCATAGCGGCCCACTACCAGGAGGCCGCGCCGCTCTGGCCCACAGCGCGGGCCGAGATGGTCGCCTTCCGGGGCCTGATGCCCCTGCTGCGCGGCGACTGGGCGCTCCCGTGGTGCCCGCTGGTCTGCCTCTCCGACGCGTCGGAGCATGGCTACGCGGTGAGCGACTCGTTGTTCGAGTCGGCCGCCGTGAAGGAGATCGGGCGGGTGCAGGAGCGATCCCGCTTCCGTCGCCTGGGCGGCCATTCCGCTCGGGCCCACTTCTTCGCCAGCAACGGCATCGTGATGACCAGCGAGGGGACGTTCAAAGATGCGGCCGATCTTGATGAGCATGACGAGGTTGCGCCCCAGACTCAGCGGGGGCTTGACAGAACATTCAAAGAGATGGCAGCGGAGATCTTCTCAGGGTCCCGCTGGACAGAGATAGTCGCCCGCGGGTGGCTTAATACTTCGGAAGACATTTTGGTCTACGAGTCACGTGCCCTCTTGCGAGCTGTAGAGATGTTGTGCAGCCTGTCACCGCGAGAGGGCGAGCATGTCGTCGTCATGAGTGACAACCTGCCAACAGTGCTGTGCTTCGAGAGGAAGAGAGCAAAAAAAAAATACTGTCCTCTCCTGCATCCGTCGGGCTGTCGCCCTGTGCCTCTCCCTCAACAAGCGCCTGCACGTGAGATGGGTTCCGAGCGAGCTCAACCCGAGTGACGAAGGCTCTAGGCTGTACGACCCGAGCTACGACCCCGGTAAGACCCTGGTGCATTATTGGGAGGCTTCTGAGGACTACGGCAAGATACCAGTGAATCGTAGGCTACCTCAACATGTACATGAGCAAGATAATGCACGCACCAAGACGATGCACTACTGCACGCACGTGGATACGGAGAACTGTCTGGCAAAGATGAGAGCACGAACAAGCACACAGTCTTGGGCCTCACCAGTACCTCAGCTCCTACAAGCACGAGCCCCAGAACAGCTCCGCAGGCCCTCAACGAGCCCACCGAGACCCCCGGCACCCGTGCTCCTCAGGACCTCCACGAGCCCCAGAGGAGCCAGCCAGCCGCCGTCGCCACCTCGGCCCCAGAGTGCGCCCCCGCGGGGGACCTCCGGCGACCTGCCGCGGCGGTGGGCGATCGCGGGCGCGACGATCAGCGTGCCCATGGCGTCTGGCCCGCCGACAGGCCGCGGGCACTGTCGCCGCCTGGCAGCGCCGCTGCCGGCAGGAGGCAGCGCGCCCGCGCATGCCGCGCCCGAGCCGCTTGCGAATCGCTCGCGGGCGCTGTCGCCGGGGCCGGAGGGCCTGCCGAGCGAGCCACTGGCGCCAGCCAGCCGGACGCGGGCGCTGGGAGCGCCCCGGGACGGCATGCGGCACCGGCTCACCCTGGCCCCGCCCGCCTCGAGGGCCGCGGCGCGCGACCTAGAGGCGAACTGCAGCCCGACGGGCGACAGCGAGGGCGAGAGCGACGCCACAACCGTGGCCAACGAGGCGGAGGCAGCTCGCACCCGGCAGTTCGGCCAGACAGCCCGGCATCGCGCTCGGGCAGTCGCCCAGGCCAAGGCGTCGCCCACTCTGGCGGGGCTGACGCTGCTGGAGCGCTCGGCGGCGAGGCTGGGCACGGAGACGCGGTACCAGGTGGAGCTCGAGGCCTTCATCGACGCCGCCGGGAAGCGCCAGCTCGTCGTGGACAGCGAGGTGGACGATGCGCTCGTGCACTACATGAACGGGCTATACGAGTCGGGCCACCACTCGAACAAGGGCGACGCGTTGCTGTCGGCGTTGCTGCACTTCCAGCCCCAGTATGGCAAGCTGGGGGGATCGCGCCTCCCTCGGGCTTGGCGACGTTTGAAGGGGTGGCGCCGGAGATGTGGGCGGCGCTCGAGGAACCCGGTCGTCCGCATGTTATGGTCAGCGGTCGTCTGGGACCTCTGCTGCCTGGGGTACTGGCTCATGGGTTTGCACATTATGTGGATGATCGTGACGCGCCACCGCCCAGGCGAGCCGCTCACGATCCAGCGCCAGGATCTCATCCAGCCAGTAGAGGGGGGCTCGAACGATCGGGGGTGCTGCTGTTCCCGCAGTCGAGGGCGGCCACCCGCAAGAACCAAATGCAAGACGAGGGGATCAGCCTCACCAACAAGATGTTCCCGTGGCTGCCGCGGGTGATCGCGGCGCTGGCCCCGGGTCCTCCAGAGCCCTTGCTCTTCACGCACAGCTACCCCGAGCTGGTCGCGCAGTTCAACATTACGAGGACGAGGCTCCAGCTCAGCTTGGTGTTGTACCAGTGCCGACACTCGGGGGCCTCGCTGGACCTAGAGAACCGCCACCGCGATCACATGGAGCTGAAAAAGCGAGGCGGGTGGCAATGCGAGAGCTCGCTGAAGAGGTACGAGAACGCCGCCAAGCTGAACTTCTCTGCCGCCCGCCTGCTTCCTTGGCAGGCGGCTGCCTTCCGAAAGGCGGACCAGCAACTCGAGGCGCTCTTCTTCGGCCGCGCGGCCGCCCTGCCCTTGTGGCGCCGCGAGTCAGCGCCAGTACTTCGCCGACCTGTTCTGCGGCGAGGGCGGCGTCGGGAAGGCGCTTGCGCGCCGCGGCTATCATGCACGACTCTGGGACCTTCGTTACAGCCAGAGCCTGGATCTCACCAATCATGCCGTGCTTCGCCGCCTGGAAGAGGATGCCAAGAACGGGTTGATTCTTGGCGCAGCGATCGCAACGGAGTGCACCAGTTTTTCGTTAGCAAGAATGCGGACTCGTTTAATCAGAACCTCGGCGCAGCCCTGGGGAGTGACAGACAGGTCAGACTTCAGCGCGAATGATCACGCCGCACTGCAGCGCGGCAACAAGCTGCTCAGGGCAACCCTCCGTATTATTCGTGTGCTAGATTTTTGCCAGATACCTTGGTTTCTGGGAAACCCTTAAAGCAGCATGATGTGGAAGATTCCTGCGTTGCGGCGGCGGGCTCAACGTGCTGCCGCTCAGGTCTCATTAGATTTTTGCAGCTACGGGACGCGATGGCGCAAAAGGACCCATTTTCTGTTCGGGAATGTAAGCGATGCGTGTCTAGGGCCCCTGCGCAACCGACTCTGCTGTGGGAAAGGATGTTGTTTTTATAGCGGCCGCCCACACATCGAGTTGAGCGGCCCACACCCCAGCAGAGGCGTCCCATGGACAAAGGTGGCCGAACCCTATCCTGTAGGCTTGTGCTGCGACCTCGCCGCCGCTCTCATTGCTGCTAGTCATCAGAGAACACTTTCTTGTCTTCGGGAAGTGATTTGGGATGTTTTGGGGTGGCCGTCTTGCTAAGCACAGACCGTCATGTGGCCACGCCTCCGGCTGCTTCCGCTGCCGGCCGAGCTGCGCCTGCCGTGCCGCGTTCTTCGAGACAGATTTATCTGCTCAAAATGTTGGGAATGGAGCCCTACCAGACAAAACCTTTGCAACCGGGTTTTCGGCAATCTCCCGGGACCCCGGCGGGACGGGCCGAAGCCCCGGGGGGAGTTCTTTTGGAAAAAGAACCAAAACCAAAACCGAGAAGGTCCAGCACGCCAGGCACCCCAGCGATGAATCGACAGGGGGCGGCGGATCCTAGTGGCCTGCGGCCCATCCCGCCACCGTGCCTGGGTTGTGGGTATGAGGCCTCTCGTAGATGTGCTGGAGTGTCGTCGGGAGCCTCTCAGGGCCTCTTGGAGGCGGTCTCATGTTTACAGTAACATGGGAGACTTGAAACTGCAATGTGTGCAGGGAGCAGCGCACTTCGTCCTACAGCCTGGTGGCCCCACAAGGGGGCCGGCGGATTTCAAACGGTGAAGATATCCCAAGCAAAATGCCCAGCCCGATCTAACGACACGCTTGGCGGCGCGGCAGGGGGGGAGTTCCTTGTGAGTAAAAATGTTGGAGGAGGAGGAATCCGAGGGAAAGGGGGAGGGAGGAGGAGCCGGGAGGGAGGATGGGGAGGAGTGGTAGTGGAGGAGGCGAGAAGAGAAGAGAGCAGTGCGAGGAGGAGAAGGGGAAGAAGGAGGAGGACGACGACGACGGCGAGGAGGAGGAGGAGGAAGGAGGAGGAGGAAGGAGGAGGAGGATCGAGGATTTTGGATCGAGGATCGAGGTTTTTGCTCGTTTGAGCCTGGTTGCGTGCGCCTCTGGAGTTCTCCAGGGATCTCCAGAGACCACCAGGAGCGTCCAGCGACCTCCAGGGTCCACGAGCAATGAGACAACGCGTCAAAATTGTCGAGAATCAGCCGATGTGTGTGGTTGTTTCTTGCCTGGGGGGGCGCTCGCTCGCCTTTGCCGGCACCTCCGACGACGCGTTTTTGTTGTTTGACAGCCATGGGGCCCAGAGGTTTCAACCGTCCTTCGCCGCTGGCATATTTTCGGGTGTCAGTCCTCGGGATCTTGGACACGCCCTCTGAAGCCGAGGCCAAAAGGGAGGGGGAGGTGTTGCCGCCGCCCTTCGTGGAGCTGCGGACGTACGCGCTTGTGCCGATCCTCGTGCCGATCTTCGCGATTGCTCTGGAGCCGCTGCTGCCGAAGCGCCTCTCTGCCTGCAGGTGCCGGACCGTTTCCGCTTGGCGCTGCCGATGGAGGACCTTCGCCCCCTCGTTCTGTCGCGAGCTCTGTGGCGTCGGACCCTGGCGTGGACACGTCCGACGTTTCCGAGGAGGTTTGACCCACCAACACCGACGATTTCGCGCACGCCAGGCGGTACAGTGTCGGAGCTGTTGCTGTTCCTCGTGCCGTTGCGGGTGCCGCGTTTCTCCTCGGAGCCGCCGCGGGGCAGCCTGGTGCCGTCCGAGGAAACGCTGACGCAGATGTTGGGGCCGATCCTCGTGGAGCCGATCGTGCTGGAGCCGATTCTCCTGGTCCGCTGCCGTCCTCGCTCCAGCCGACCTTTGTGACAGGGCCACCCACGCCCCTGACTCTTCGGGCCTGGACTTGGATTGTCGCGCCGCCGCGGGAGTGGACATGATGAAGGTCGGCACCCACGTGGTTCGGGACGTCGGGCCCGCCGTAGTGGCGCGCGGCGCGGTCATGCTGGCGACCCTGCTGATCTGCGACACGATCCTGTCGACGGCCGCGCTAGTCGCCTGCAGGCTCTCCTCCTCGGCCTCCTCGTCCTGCTGCCTGCCAGGCGCCGCGCTCCCAGGCTCGGATTCGTGGGAAAGGGAGCGGGGCCTGTCCGCCGACCCCCACCTCGGCGGGGGCCCGTGGTGGGCGTGGAGCGGACTGGGTTGGGGGGGGGGGGGGGATCGCGCACGCCTTCTGGCCGTGGCCTCGCCTCTTCCCCCCCCCCCCCCACACGTCCCCCGATGTCGAATTCGTTCGAATGGCTGGTGGCCTCGTGCGCAAGCGGGCCGCCAGCGACTCCCCTGATTCTGCTTACAAATCTCAGGGGCTCCTCTGTAATGGCGGTATCGAGTGCGCATTGTGCAAGCGAGGAGCACGGTGCAGGTTGCATTTCCCAGAGTCGGACGACGACGGCTCTGACCTCGACTTGCCCCCGCCTTGGCCCGCCCTCTGCAGGACTTGCTCTTGCGGCGGCTCAGCCACAGCACGGTTTTGGTATGAGCTAAGATCCGATGTCTCTGATTGTAGCCGTTCGTGCCCGTGCGTCCTCGTGCGTCGAGTCCTGCCGTGCCATGGTCCAGGCTTGCGCTAGCCGTCCGGTGGCGCTCGCCGCCCTACGTGGTGCCTCGCCGATCGCATGGGCTCTCCTCGTGCGTGTCGCGTGGCATGTGCATCTCGCCGCGTTGCGCGATCTCTTCTTCTACACTTGTCTTTACCTGTCCATGTTATATTCTCGGCGCGGTCAGACGCATCGGTTGCGCTTCGGGGAGGAGGAGGAGGAGGAGGAGTAATCAGAATAGGAATGGGAAGAGGAGGAGAGCTTCCATGCGTCCCCTCCCGTCTTCCCTCCCTCTCCATTGTTCCACCTCCTTCGGCAGAGCACCGGCGTTATGTGTAGCTTGGAAGTCACGCTGCCGAAGTGGTCTGTATTACTTCCAGAGGGCAGCCTGTGGGCCTCTTGATATCTTGCAACGGACGCTGCAGGCCTTCTTGGAATGGGTATTTACGTGTGCCCCCCCCAGCCATACGTGCAGCCACCGATGCCGAGCCTGATCTGGACATGGTGTGATGTTGCTTTAGCGGTGGGGGGGTGCGCCTTGTCGGGTTGGGCCCAAGCATGGCTCGTCACCCCTGCTAAGGAGCAAGAAGGTACTGTCGGACGCACGTTCCCCCCATGGGTTTCCCTCTCCCCCCTCGGACCGCCCCTGCCCTTGTGGTGTGTTAGTGAACAAATACGCCTTGCCTTCCCTCCTTCCCGCCCTCCCTCCCTCGGGGATGGCCCACCGGACCACGGCCCGAGGACGAGGTGGAGGCGAAGGAGGCCGCGCAGAAGGCCCGCGCGAAGGAGATCGCGGACCGGCAGCAGGAGGAGCAGCCCCCCCATGTCCTCCTTCATCGCCGTGGGAGGACAGGGGGAGGGAGGAGGGAGGAGGGAGGAGGGAGGAGGGGGGAGGAAGGAGGGACGAGGGACGCTGGAGGGAGGGAGGGACGAGGGAGGAGGAAGGACGGAGGAGAGAGGAGGGAGGAGGGAGGCAGGGAGGGAGGGAGGGAGGGAGGGAGGGAGGAGGAGGAGGAGGAGGAGGAGGAGGAGGAGGAGGAGGAGGAGGAAGGGGAGGATGAGGAGGAGGTGGTGGAGGAGGAGGAGAGGAGGAGGAAGAGGAGCTGGCACCAGCCAATACGTACCTTCCCCCTTCCCTCCAGCATCAGGTCCCCTCTCCGTTGTTCTGTCGTTTGTTCCTCTTTTCCTGACTTATGGGATTTTCTGAACATCCCCCAGGCGCGCGTTGGGAAGCGGGCCACGAACGCGCCAGCCCGAAACAGCAGGACCGACCACAGCTCGCAGCTCGAAGTAGGAGGAGGAGGAGGAGGAGGAGGAAGCTTCGGACCCAGAAACCCGAGGCAGTGCACCAGCCCTAGGGGGCCAGCCTCGACCGTAAACTCTTCGTATCCCATATACGTTTACATCCATGTCCAAACCGTACCTTTTTTACATCCCTTTTTGACTACATTCTCTTCCCCTCACGACACCACGACTTCGTCGACCAACCCAGCATGGCACCGTCGGCTACGCGAGCAGCGAGCTCAAGCACGAGTACTGCTACGAGTCGCCGCTGCACGAGAACTCCTTGACTACGACATCCACCACCAGGTCTACACAACACGCCAGTTCCTCGCTGCGCACCACAGCGCGCAACAACCCCCACCGAATTCACCACGAGTTCCAGCCATTGCGACGTCATGGAGTGCAACTGCGAGCGGATCGGAAACAGCACTGCCACCGTGGAGGTCAACATCGGACCTCCTACGAAGCAGGCCAACTACGCCGAGATTCACCACGCTGGCCGGCTATTGGAGCGGACCTCGCACGCTGGAAAAGCCACAGCTGGACGGACCAGTGGGCCCAGGAGCACCCCGACAAGAACTTGGGCCACAATTACAGCTACAACAGCAGCGGCCGCAACGGCAAGGGCTCCAACCACACTGGTAAAGGAAAGGCTGCGAAGGACGACATCGAGCCCGACAGCTGGACCCGGGAAGGCCAACATAAAACCAGCAAGGGCAAGGGCAAGACAAAGCAGTAATCTGACAGTGAGAAGCAGAGAGAGGAGAAGGACGACACCCAGAATCACAATGACGACATGGCCAACACCATCCACAATGTCATGCCCACGAGGAGGATCTACGCCACCAGGAGTCACGAGTGGGAGCTGCCACCCAACGACCCCGAGCTGAAGGATGACTGGAGAAGCTCGAGCACATCGAAATGAGGCGGGCCGCAGCTGCCACTGCCAGTAACAGTGAAGAAGGACTACTTACTACAGATACAGGGGCACAAATCGCCTTCACCAAGGCCATGATACTCAACAGTATGATTCTGGCGTAACAGACGAGGGAGATCGAGACAACGAAGCAGACCATGGAGGATTTACTCCGTGCACGCCAGGACCCACCTACAATAGATACAGGCCTACGTGAGCGAGCTGGAGAACGAGATCGGGGAGCTCAACGTTCTCCAGCGGGACATCAGCAACGCCAAGGGCGACCGCTACAGCGACAACGCGGCAGCCGACGACGAGGCCGACAGGCCCCAACGCGAGGTCCCCTTCCCAAAGGACCCCAACCCCAACGCCAAGAAGACAGACAAGGGCGGGGGAAGTCACAGAGGGCCAAGACGTCGGCACCTTGTGCAGGACCGAAGCCAACAACGAGATCCAGGACCTGGACAATCTTCCGATTAATAGAAAAGAAGCTCCACAACACCAACGTGACCGGCACACAGAAGCAACCAGGGCACAAAAGTACCACAATGAGCTTCTGACCAAGATCCAGAGCACCGAGCAGACAACCTAGAAAATGGCATCGCGCCACGAGTACATGCAAACGCGGAAGGACGCAGCGCCCGAGGGGATTGATGAGAAGCCGGAGGAGGCCAAAAGAAAAGCCAACGCCGACGCCCACACCCAGCGCACACCTTCGACGGAGAAGCTACGAAAGGTGCTCCAAGAGACACAGAAGAGGCTCGCCGGCAGCGGCAGCGCCCATGGCAACATGGAGAAGCAGCTGAGAGAGGCGGCGAAGAGCGCGGACGAAAGACACAAGCATTACAGCATGACCACGGAGGCCGAGCAGCAGATCGCCCACATCGACGCGAAAGAGCTCTTACCGACACGAGCACATACGAGCAGCAGGCACAGCACAGCTAGCGACTGGCTGGAGGACGGCGACAATTCATGGGACAGAGGGCGGACACGGGCACGGCAGAGCAGCACAGCGCTCCGCGACAAGAGATAGACGTCTACCGCCAGGAGGGCACCCAATGGAGGTGCACGAGGAAAACCCACGAGATGCGCACCGAGGAGGCGACCGAGGAGCACCACCAAGCCCGGCAGGATTACAAAGAAAACACGACAACGCCCAAGCGACGCGGAGATGGTGGATGCTCTCCAGCAGGCCCTCAACACGGCCAGCGCCACCGACGACGACGATCTGTCTCAGTTCCCGCCACCAGCACAGCCGATGCTTCGACAGCCATTGGAGGATGGAGGCACGCAACCGACACAATCGCAGTACGACGGCGCGAATAGGGAGAACAACATACACACGGCCATCGGGGTTTTCTCATCGTAGCCAGTCCTACACGACGAGCACGCCACGCACACGCCGCACGGTTGCCCCGACGAAGTCAACATGCTCGCCAAGAACACCACAGCCAGCACACGCCCCCAGCGACGAGCAGGAATGCCCTACGCCAGCAGCTGGGAAGGACAGCAGCACACCGCCAGCTCAACCCGACCCACCTACGCCTGAAATCATCGCGATCCATGCTCCGCCACGGATTACGAGGGGCTTTTGGCGGCATCACACCAAGCGAACGAATGGCACAGGCAATCAGCCCGCAACGGTGCTTCACTGGCTCACCTGCCAGGGTTCCATCTACGCCACCAACCCGCAAGCACCCAGCACCACCTACAAGAAGCTCACGCGCGCGAAGAGCGAGAAGGGCGAGCGGTCCCAGGGTCAACACGCTGGGAACCTTACGCGTGTTTTCAAGCGAGGAATCCCACATTTGGTCTCGGTGACGCCTGCAGGGGGGCCCTGTGAGCATAGGGAGAGGCCCTCGCGCCCCCCCCCCCCCCCCGGCGAGCGCGGAGCGGCACCGCCACCGCCAAACCCCACGTTACAGCTCAACCTATTTGCGCGCATCCTCCCACACTTGTTTCAAGGCTGCCGTCCACCGCGGCCCAGCCAACAAGGCGTCTGGCCTGCGAGAACCCAATCCATTTCCTTCCTTTTTCTCAAGGCTGCCGACCACAGCGGCCCCTGTCCTGACAGCGCCCGCTAATGTTTCAGCGACCTTCGCCGCCCGCACTCCCATCTCACTTCCTATTTCGCTTCAGCCCTGCCAACAACCGCGGCATTTGGCTGCAGCTAGCTAATTTTCGCCCCAGACACCGCCACCGGCGCGCCGACGCCCTGTCACGCGGACGGCTGCCGCTGTCACGCGGCCAGCGCGTTGCTTCCCGCCTCAGGCGCGAGAACGCGCTAGGCGCGCGCGCGCCGCGAACAGGCGCCCACTGCCCCCCCCCCCCCCCTCCTATCTCTTCAGCATAGCATGGGCACCTCAACAGAGGGGGTACCCTCAGGTTCCACCAGGTCAGTGGCCCCGCGAGGCCAAGGGACCCGAGGGTAGAGGACCCTCGCCACGGGCCCCGCGGGCTCCATCAAGTGCCACACGCATTTTGCAGCCTTGCCTGCTGCCGCCCCCAACATATATCCAGCTACATGTGTTCACCTTTTTCATTGCGATGTTATGATATGTTGTCAGATCGCCCTCCCTTTCCTCCCCCCCTCCTCCCTGTCTGTCTAATCGAACCTAAACAAGCGGCACGCGCGCCATGGCTCTTGCACGGAAAGGAAGGGGGGGGAGGGGGCGCGCTGGCTGGTGAATGCGGTGCTGGAGGGGGCGCTAGGGATGGGGGTGTCGGGGCGGAGGGGGCGCGTTGGCTGGTGGATGGGGGGGCGCGGAGGGGGCGCTCGGGGCGGGGGGGGCGGCGCCGTTCCGAGATGAATGGGTCAGGGCGGAGGGGGCGGTGCCGCGCTTAAACAGAGGGGGCGGGGCGGAGGGGGCGCGCTGGCTGAATGGTGGGGGGGTTTGCGCAGGGGGCGCGCGCGGAGGGGGCAGAGGGGGCGGTGCGGCGCCAAACCAAAGGAGCCGGGTCGGAGGGGTGTGCCGTGCCGAAATAAAAGGGGTCGGGGCGGAGGAGCGCGCGCGGGCTTGTGAGTGGGTGGGTGGGGGGGGGCGT